GCCTCGGGTGGGAACGGGGACACGGGGACACCTGGGCTCCACACCCCATGGCCCAGCCCTCTTCCCTCCTGAAGCAGCCCAGGTCCCCATGGGAGCAGAGGCAGTGGCATCCCATCTGAGCCTTGGCTGCTCCGAGATTGGAGGGCCCACCCCCAGCCCCAGAAGGGATCTGCACCCCCCCACCCAGGGAAATCGAAGGTCAGGACCCTCGCCCACCCTGGGGCTGGGGCCCAGCACCTCCCCGCCTGCTGGAGCACCGGGGACCCCAGAGGGCTGCAGCCGGGCCAGAAAGAGCCCCAACTTGCCAGGAAGGGAAGCTCTTTTTTAGCCTCTCGTAGGTTCTGGTCCCCTTGCAACCACAATTGTCCATGGAGCCTGCAGGCCCCATGAAGAGCCAGGACTATCCCCAAGGGGGGAGGCAGGAGGCAGAGGGGACACTCAGGGAAGGGGGACCCAGCCTCGAAGGACCCAGAGGTGGGAAGGGCCAGGAGAGGGGAGGAGAGGAACGGAAGAGGGGACGAGAGCGGGGAAGAGGGGTAGAATCCCAGGGGGAGAGGATGGGTATTAAGAGGGGGGGCGCTCTTCCTTTGAAATCACTGCTAATCAATAGATGGCCACAAGGCCAAGCCAAGGGCAGGAGCCTTTGGCCAAAGGCCAAGGGAGGGTGTGAGAAGATCAGAGCCAGCGAGCCCTGGGGAGGGTGCAAGCTGACATCCAGGCTCCTTCCAGCTCTGGCGTGCTGACAGCAGCCTTCCCCACGCCGGACGGAAGGACAGACAGATGCAGGAGCACGAAAAATCCCAGAATCTAATTTTAGCTGAGTGCTCCCGCCTCCCCTGCTAACAGTGAACAGAGCTTCCCACCCCTGCCCAGCTCCCGCTCTAACGGAGGTACCAGCAGGCCAGGAGATAACCCCCCCACCCCGAAGCCGTGGGGTCTCTGTAGGGGCGGCCCTCCAGCTAGCACAGGGCAGGGGCTTTGCTGGGCTGGGAGGGCCCCAGGCCTGCTCCCCCATTGTTGAGGAGGCAGATGCTGAGGCCAGATAGTGACACAGTTGAGATTAAACTGGGTGGGTTGGTATCCTGGCTCTGGATGACCTCAGGCAAGACGCTCAATCTCCCTCGGCCTCAGTTTCCTCTCCTATAAAATGGGAATAGTCATCGCTCTAATCTCAGATGATGCATGTCAGGCACTAGTCCTGATGACTCACAACTGTCATTATTCCTCTGCCACCCCCCCATCTCAGAGGGCCCCAAACTGATCGGTCACCCCAGACCCAGCCTGCCTCTGCACTAAGGCACAAAGGTGAAGAAAACACAGCCCTAAGCCTGCCCAAAAGCCTGACCCTAACAACAGTGGATTAATTCCAGGAACCTCCGAATCTGGACCTTCCAGAAAGCCGGGGCTACGGCAGAGATGGAACCGCAAGCTAGGGAACCCTAGAGACCACGGGGTCAACGCCTCGTGGGCAGGCAGGGACACTGAGGCCCCAAGAAGGACCCAGCCCTGCTCAGGGGCAGCTGGACAAAAGATGGCAGAAGCAAAGCATGACCCCCGGCCTCCCTGCCACGTCCCCACTGTGGTTTCCACTCGCACCGAGTCCCACACCAGCCTAGCCATTCCCAGCGACCACTCCTGGCCAGCACCAGGGAAGCCAAAGGTTGCCCAGGACCAGCTCCACCTGGGCAGATGCCTTCCTAGGCCCAGCCAGCCGCAACCCCATTTGCACGGTCTCTCATCCGGTTCTCAGCACCACCTCCCAAACACAGAGACGAGGAGGGGGAGACGCAGGGGCCTAATGAACTCACAAGCACCCTCCACCTGGAGTCTTGGCAGCAGGTCAGCCAGCCCTCCTGGCACAGGTATCTTTTGAGCAGGTGGGCCGGGGGGGGGGGCTCCCCGCAGCAATGCCCCCAGAGGAACTCCCAGCAGCCCCGAATTTCTCAGCAGCTGGTCTGAGGCAGGAGGTAGGACTGTACTCCCTTTCAAGGGTATCCCCTGTGCTCAAAGGACCCAGATTCTTACGCCGCGAGTGAAACGGGAGGGGAGACGTCTTCCTAAGCCATCCATCCCACCTCTTCTTTAACTGTCTTCTTTACTGGTCCCTCCCTTTGTCAGGGATGTCCTAAGACAGAAGAAGCTAGACGGGTCTCCAGAAGGTAGAAGTGCCCTGCCCCGACAGCTCGCATGCAGCTGGTGAACTGCCAAGAATCCATGCCGCCTCCCGTCCCCCACCCTCACCCCCAAGGTGTTGGGGGATTACTCCTGGGAGGAGGCGTGCAATCCCCCCACCCCCCTCTCTGCTGCTCTGAGCCCACCTCTTGGACCCACTAACCCTCAGATGGGCTCAGGGTGAAATCCAGAGTAGGTGCTACTCACACAGAACAGCAGGAATGGGGTGTGAGAGGAGGAGAAGACAGCCTGGGAGCCAGGGGTCCCGGGGTCCAGCTCCAGCTGCACCACCTATGAGCTGTGTGACCATGGACAGGCCCCCCAGGGCTCTGCTCCTCAGGCTCTTCATCTGAGAACTGAACAAAGTAGCAAAATGGGGACAAGCCAGGCACAGGCCCTCGCACACAGCAGGCTGTCCCAGATGTTTCCTGAATGTGGACCTGTTTTTCCTTAAGTCTGGAAAAAATCCCTTCGGTAGGAAGGTGTGGGATGGTGGGCACAGTGACGGACAACCTGCCTTCTAGACCAGCTCTGCCACCGGCTGGCTGAGGGGGGGCCCAAGGCAAGTCAATTCTCTCTGGGCTTCAGTCACTTCTTCAATAAACTTTGGGGTTTGGACTGAGCTGTCAGGAATGGAAAACCTGTGGAGCCCAGACCATCACTTACATATTCTGTGGCAGTGACAGACATGATTGGTCTGTCACCGCACCGCCGCCTACTGAGCCCAGCCGGGCTCAGTTTCGGGGTCCCCCACCGGCCAGCACCCCCGAACGAGAGCTGGAGCGAGAGACAGAAGCACAATTCCTCTACACCTGAATTTTGAAGCTTTGCGAGTCAGGGACCCAGCTGGGTGACCTTGAGCCTCAGTTTCCGCTTTGGCAAAATGGCTACACCTAGCAAGACTGTGAGGATTAAGTAAGATAACGTATTCACTGTTGGTACTCAGCCGCGGTAACTCTGTCACTGTCTCCAGAGGCTGGGCAGGGAGCCCTTTCCCCAGGCCCGTGGGCCCGCCCCTCACAGACCCTCGGGCAACACAGTGCGTCCCGTCCTGTAGAAAGAGTGTGGGCCTGGGGCACCTCTGGCAAGTCAGTACACCTTTCTGAGCCTCAGTTTCCCCTGGACAAAATGGGCTGATACTTCTTTTACACAGTGGGCATGAGGATTAAACAAAGTAATCAGACAAAGTGCCAGAAAAGTGATCGGTTCAGTAAACAGGAACAAATGAGCTACTTTAATCCACCCTCCTCAGGCCTCAGGACCTTGGCACTGGAAAGCCAGGCTGGTAGAAATTGCTGGGAGCTCCTCAGGGCAGGGTGTGGCTCTCTCATCAAGTCCTCCGTGAAGCCGCATGTCCCAGGAGTCTCCATTGGTTGCCCATGGCGGAAGCCGCAGCCCGGCCCGGGGAAATGTGAATCCTGGATATGGTAGATGGCCTCCCACCACCCGACCCCGGGACCTCACCGCTCCTCCCTCTGCCCTTCCCTCCCAGGCCTCACCCCTCCCTGGAGCCTCCCCTGCCCTCCGAACCAGGCCACACTGGCTCAGGCCCCAGAGGCTACCCTCACTGAGGCGGGACCGGATGCCTTGGAGGCCTCATCTGGGAAATGAGATTGATAGGAGTGACATCCACAGGTCGTCCAACTCTGGTGTTCGGGACTGAATCTCAGTGTGGGAGAGCCCAAAGCAGAGCATTCTGGTCCACTCTCCTGCCCTCCCCGAAGGCAGCCGCTGAAAACACTCTGCAGAGTTACCGTCCTCCTGCCCCCCTGGGGGTGCTGTCCAACGACCTCCTCTGGCCCTCAGCTGCTGCACCTGACCACAAGGCTGACTCTCCAACTGTCACAAATCCACCAAACGCACCCTTTGCCCATGCTGTCCCCTGCCTGAAACACCTTTCTTATCTTGCTTCTTGGTATACTCCGCCTCTTCCCCCAAGACCCAGCCCCAAGGCCCCCTCCTCTGGGAAGCCCTCCTTCTCTTTCCTTGCCAGGCGGCCAATCTCAGGCTTCTCTGGCCATTCTCTTCCCATTGGCTTGCAATGATAAGGGATGCTGAGTGGACAAACCAGGTGTGCAGGTGGGTAGGTACTGGGCAGCCACGCCTAGGGCAGGAAAGGGCAACCGGCCCCGGGAGGGAGCCCATGCTTAGAGATACTATCCGAGTAGCTGAGAAATAATTACTCCTGGCAGCCTTTGGGCAACAAGGACACAGCTCGTTTATTACAAAATATCTTTTATTGATAAAATAGCTCAGACTTTAAAAAAAACAACAACAAAAACACCTGCATATCACAAGGGGCCCACAGGCAACCACAATAGCAGGAGTCCCATGGGACACACACAAGACCAGTCAGCAGATGTCACAAGTCAGCCCCTCCCCCAGGCCCAGCCTCCACAGCCTCGCCCCAAGGCTGTGCCCTTGCCTCACCCCGAGACTGAGGAAGGAGCTAGACAGCCCCTCTCCCCAGGCGGGACTCTCTTTGGTCCCCTCCATTCTCTCCACCCCCAGAAAACTCTCTCAGCACCTCTCCAGATCTGGCCAGGCCCATCAGAGTGCCGACAGTGCCTGGGCTGCTCAGCCCCAGTCCCACGCTAGCTGCTCACTGACTGGTGCTCCTTGGAGAAGAATGGGAAGCGTCCTCCAAATGCTCCCAAGTGTTCTGGGTGCCAGGTCCTGGGGATGGGGAGACGACCAGGAGGGGGAGGCCCCTGGAGCCCCATCAGTGGGATGAAGCAATGTGGCTGGGGCAGAGATGGCCAGCCGGCCCCCACCCCATCTTGGGTAGGGTCGCTTATACATCACAGGGACCCACTGGGGACTTGGAGACCTCCTGCAGGAGTCCACAGGGCCCTCACTCACCTGTTCTGGCTGCAGCACCCTACCTGGGGTTTCTGTCACCCACCCCAGGCTCTCATCCCAGACTGCTCCCATGGTGTGGGTATTTTTAGCCATCTTGGGAAAACAATTAACCTGCTCGATGACAAAAGACTTTTCCCCCACTGGGGGGCCCAAGCCCCTGAAAACCCCATTGGTGTTGTGGGTGAAATGTCAAGAAGTTGTCATGGAGCATAATAACTAAACCCTTGCCGGCGCAAGAACACGTTCTCGAAGAAATCCTTTGACTGAAAGAGTGGTTCTCTCTACCATTCCCCACGTCCAGTCTGGGGTAAGAATTCACACACCCCAGGCACAGAACAAAAGTCTACAGGAAGACAGGTGGTGGTAAACACAGAGAAAGGGGATTTTTATATCACCAAATAATCACATTTTCTGGTTCTCTAGTGTGTTCCCCCACGGAGCTCAAAGCTTTCTGCAAAGCCTCTCATCTCCCAGCAGCAAGTGCCCGGGGTTTTTGCAGGGGGTGAATGCTAGTGATCAGGGATCTCCCGTCAGGCAGAGGCCAGGCCTCCAGACCACCCCACCAAGGCGAGGCGTCCACTGGCACACACGCACCTCCCAGAGGGGTGCCGGGTGAGAAAAATGATTCCAGAAAACGTTCTGGCTTTTAAAGGAGCTACAGATCCCCCAAAAAGTAGGTAGAAAGGGGAGAAGGCCCCAGAAGCAGCGTCAGACCATAAGCCCCCCACCCAGTGCCAGATGGGGACCCCGGGCATCCAGCGTGGGTCCCTCAGTTCTGCCTCCTCCTCAGTGGCAGGTGCTCTGGGGAAAAATGGAAGGCTGGCTTCCTGCTCTTAACCCGGGGAAGATGAGAAAGAAACCACCACAAACAAGTGACCAGCCAGGGAACACAGAGTCCTGAAGGAAAGCCCACCCATTGCCTTGCCGGGGTCTGGGGTCCTGGGAGGGAAGGGCTCTATCCTGGCTGGCTTTGGAGGCTTCAAATGGACCCCCAGTGAACAGCACCCCTGCCCCTACCCCTCCAGGGGGGCTCCCAAGGGGAGGCCTGCAGGCCCCAGGCAGGAACCAGAAAGCCCCAGGGAGGTGGCCACAGAAAGCAGGGCAGGAATCGGGGTGGCCCTGGTGCCACCTGGCACCAAGCCCACATGGGCGGCGGGCAGGTGGCTCACCATGCCGTCTGGGTCCACTGGCGGCAAAGGATCCTTCGGAAGGCACGGCGAAAGTCCTGGTTGAAGATGGTATAGATGACGGGGTTCAGCGAGCTGTTACAGTAGCCAATCCAGAAGAAGAACTGAAAGAGGCCGTGGGGCACCTTGCAGTGCTGTGGGCAGATGGCTCCCAGGCTGTAGCTGAAGAAGAAGGGGAACCAGCAGAGCACAAAAACGCCAATGACCACGGCCAGCACGAAGGTGAACCGCTTCTCCCGAGTCAGCTGCGCCCGCCGCCGCCACCACTGCCCACTCGCGGTGCCCACACCCCTGCCCAGGAGCACCTGGCCCCGTAGGGTTGCCAGCACCCGGGAACCCTGTGGCTGCTGCACGGGTGGGCTGCAGGCTGCCGCAGGAGGCGCTGGTAAGGCCTGAGGCTCACACTCTTCCTCCTCCTCCTCTTCAGCTTCCTCCTCTGGAGATGCCCCACACACACCTTCCTTCTGACTCTGGCCTGAGTTGGGAAGGGCTGACCAGCTGGGTGGCAAGGCAGGGGTCCCAGGATCTTCAGGGGTATCCCCCCCCTCCTTCTCCCCCGTAGGCTTAGAGTGTCCGTTGGCCTCCTCAGAAGCAGCCGGAGAGGCCAAGGTTGGCAGTTTGGTTGACGTTCCCGTAGGGACTGAGCGGGGCTGCTTAGACTCACCCGCGCCAGGGCCCGCCTTGGCCCCGGGACCTCTGCGGTGGCTGCGTTTGGCGATCAGGTAGATGCGCAGGTAGACAAGGATCATGATGAGGCAGGGTGCAAAGAAGGACCCGATGCTAGAGGCCAGGATGTACCAGGCCTCTTGGTTGAGTTTGCACTGGGGGCGCCCGCGGGGCTGGGGCCCCTGGTCGCCCTTGTAGATGAGCGGCGGCAGGGAGATGACGGCTGCGATGAGCCACACGGTGAGGATGATGCACTTGATGCGGCGCGGGGTGCGCTTGGAGTTGTACTCGAGCGCGCGACTCACAGCCCAGTAGCGGTCCAGGCTGATGGCACACAGGTGCACGATGGACGAGGTACAGAAGAGCACGTCGAGCGCCAAGTACACCTCGCACCACGTGCGCCGGAAGTACCAGTAGCCCAGCAGCTCGTTGGCCAGCGAGAAAGGGATGATGAGCGTGGCCACCAAGATGTCGGCAGCGGCCAGCGACACCAGGAACAGGTTCTGCGGGGCGCGCAGCGAGCGGCTCGTCAGCACGGCCAAGATGACCAGCGCGTTGCCGAAGATGGTGAAGAGGATGAGGAACGTGATGACCGCCGCGATGGCCGCGGTGGCCTGCACCGAGTAGGGCTCCTGGTGGTCCATGGCGGAGTGGGACGCGGCCGGAGGGGTCGCTGCTCTCCCAGCGCCTGCTCAGCCGGCGACAGCACCGTCCCACCCTGCTAGCCTAGACGGGAGGATCGACCCCCTGGCGGCGCAGAAGGCGCTGGAGCCCCATGGCCAGGCCGAACGGGGCCTAGGAGATCGAGGGGTGCCTGGGGCCAGCCACTGCCCTCCTACATCCTCTTCCACCTGCCCCCGGCGCCCCTGCCGTCCTCCCCGGAGAAGTTTTCCAAGTTGTCCCGCTGCCGTCGCCGCCCCGCCCGGGACCGGGGGAAAGTTGCGCCCTCCCGCTCCGAGGCTGCTGGACGCACGCTGGGGCGCGGGGCTCGGCGGGCCGGGCGGGGGGCGCGCCACCGGTTGTGGGAGGCGGCGCAGAGGCCGAGGCGCCCGCTCCGCTCGCTGGCTCTAGCTGGGAGCCGCGCCTGCAGGCAGCCGGCCGCCGCAGGGGAATGGGAGGAGAGCGAGCGCGCTGGAGGAGGGAGGAGACTGGAGGCGGGAGCAGGAGGAGCGGAGGGAGGTGGGGCGGGCGGGCGGGCGGGCTGACAAGAGGACGGGTGGAAGGTGCGCCTGGCGGGTGGACTCGCCGGCCGTAGCCTCCCCGCAGCCCGGGGCCTCCGCCCTGGAGCCCCTACCCCTTTTCCTCCCGGCCTCCGCGCCACGGGAGGGCAGAGACCGGTGTCTGGGGTCTTCGGGACTCCGGGAAGGACGTTTGCAGACGCAGAAGGGTTGGTGCGCGCGGGGAGCTGGGACCGATGGGAGACCTCTCTCCTGCAGACCCGGCCGGAGCACCGGGGTCTAGGACGGTGGGCTCCGGCTGATCTCTCTTGCCGCCGTGTATGAGCCCCAAGGAGAGGGTGGGTGGGTGTGTTGCGGCACCGCAGCGTAATGACCCACACCTCCTACCCGGCGCTCGAAGAGGAAGCCGAGTGGAAGGAGTAGGGGGGAGCGGGGAGACTGCCCGGAGCCCTTGCCCCAGGTGCTTTCTTGCCCCGACCGGACTCCGTCGGGCCTGCGGAGCCCTGGGAGGCGCGGTGGCCAGGTTGCGAGCGCCCCCTGCTGCCGCCCGCGTGTCGGTAGTCCGCGGCCAGCCGGGAGACCCGCGTCCTCGCAGCGCTCTGGGTTCCCAAGGCCGGTGGGGCAAGCGCAAAGATTTAGGACTTCAGCTGTCCTGTTTCCCCCGCAGATGCCTCGGTTTCCTCCACTAAGGGCAAAGAGGTAAGAGGAAAACTGGCTTGAACTCCGATATCAGCTTTTTAACACAGCTCAGAGAAAAAGTAGGTCTCCGGGGGCAACTAGGCAGGAAGGAGCATCCCTTTGACTATGTTGTCTGTCTGTCTGTCTCTCTCTCTCTCTTTCTCTCTTTCTCTCTCTCTCTCTCTCTCTCTCTCTCTCACACACACACACACACACACACACACACACACACACGGCATTCCTGCTGAATCCCCCCCACATGCATGCTGCACAACCCTCTTGGAGAGGCTGTAGAAGGAGCTGGGTAAGAAATTTCAGATTAATCACCCCACCCCATCCCATCCCATCCCCATGCCAGACTCCAACAGCGATAGGCTCCCCCTCAGACACCCTCAGCCCTACTCACTCTCCCTGTGGCCACTGCCACCAGTGTCCGCCTGGGCAGCCTCAAGAGCACGTTTTTTCACCACTCCTGGAGCCCCTGATATTATAACCCCAGCCTAGAGCCAGGCCTTGTATTTATAGCCCGTGGCTCTGCATGACATCCTCTGTATAAATAAGCATCAAGCCACCCCTGAAAGTAGGGCTCCTCCAAAAGGCCCGGCCTTGAGACAGTGTGCATACTGGACCTTCCTGCCTGCTCCATCTTCATGGGACCAGGGAATGACCCCTCAGTGCCCACAGTGACTTACCCCTACCCAGGCTCACACAGCAGGGGTGGAAGGGTTCCTCGATCCAGGGCTGTCCCTGCCTCCTGCCATCCTTAGTGCCTTTGTGAAGTCTGAGTGCCACAGCCTGATGGTGGGACAGGACAGCCCCTCCAGAGACAGGTTTTATGGATGCATCCCCCACCCTCTGGCTGGGCTGAGCCTGGGCCTGTGGTTGCCAGAGATGGAGACGTCTCAATAGCCCCTTCCCTGAGGAAGGACTGAGGGACCACTCTTTCACCTTCTCCAACCATACTCACACTGGGGGGCCAGGGGCTACCTCCCCAGACACTGCAATCAGCATCAGCCCTTTGTTTCCTGGCCCGAGTTTTCCTTGAAAGGCACCAGGACCCCGAAGGAGCTGTGGCCAGGGCTGCTCGCTCTCTCCCCCCTGCCCCTTCCCTCCACTTGGGCCTTCCCCGAAGGGGCAGCCAGCTCTGGATCTACCAAGTGTCATGCCCTACCAGGCCCAAGCCCAGATGGGGGCAGCCAGGAGAGCCTCCAGGCACCTGTGAGGCTCAGCCACAACCTCAGGGTCTGTGCCCCCTGCTGCCACCTACCAGCCCGGCCTCCCAGATGTGCAGCTGGCCCTTGGGGCAGCAGAAGCCATCACGTAAGTAGATTTCCACTCCTCTCTGCAGCTCTCTGTCCCCCACCCCCACATACACCCTTCAGTACTGCCCACTCCAGCCAGCCCTGCATAAATCCGAGCCTCGGGCCATAGCATCAGCCTTCCCCAGACTAGAGCTGACCTTCCACTGTCCCTGCATTCCACCAGGCTGGCAGAATTCAATCCCAGACCCAGACCCGGACCCACCAGCAGCAGGAGGTGCCTTAGGGCCTCCCCAGCCACCTGCGGCAGGAGAGGAAGCCCGTGATGGGCACTGGCCCACCGTCCTGGCCCCACCAGGCTACCTGTTGATCCCTGGACATGCCCTGAGCTCCCATATCTCCAGTCCTTCCCAGGTGCTTGGTGGCCCCCCCCCCCCAAGGTCCGTTCACCTCTCACCCACCGCCCTTCCAGGGAGAAAGAGGTACCCTGCTTTCCACGTTCTTTGATGCCATGTACATAGTACCATGTTCGCACTCGGAGATGTACTGAGATGCCGGCAGATGGGTTTGCTGCATCACTCCCCCCACCCCCCGCCCCTTGAGCACACATCCCTTTTCCGTCCCCAATATTGGCCAAGATTGCTGAATGATGGGGGGGGGGCAGCCTGGCATCAGTGGATGACATACATGAGCCTCTCTCAGGTAGTGTCCTAAAATGAAGGTGTCCCCAAAGGATGCCCTTGGAAAGGGGTGGGGGGAGGTGACCTAGTACCATCTTTTCCAAAGACACAGGGACAGTGGTCCCATCCCTGGCTGTGAGATCACAGCACAAGATATGCCCCTTAGTTGAAAGCCCTGGAGCCACTTGTCCAGACCTGAGAGCCAAGAGTGGCCCCAGATTCTCCCATGCCAGGGCTCCACGGGGATGAGGCCCAACTGGGCTTCACACCCCAGCTCTCCCCAGAAGCCCCAGCCTTTCAAATCCCTGGGACCCTATCCTCACACCACCCTGTAGGCCCCAGCCTCCCCACACCCTTGAGTCATGCCTTCCATAATGCAAGTCCGCCGCCCCATCCTCCTCCATCACACCTCACCTGACAAAACCCCGATCCTGGGCGGACCTAAATCATCCACCCAGCTTTTGGCAGAACAGCTGCTCCTTCCGGAGCAAAACACTCACTGCATCGACTGTCCTCGCTTTAAAGCCATAACCACAAATCTCCAGACTTGCCTAGTGTGCTCACCTTTCCCCCCCTGCAGAATCGGTGTCCCGCTCATCCTCCTCACCCACACACCCTCCTCCACTCCAAGCCATGACTTTGCCTCTAACTTAGAAGATGAAAGCCCTCAGGCAGGAACTCAGCCCGAACTCACTCATCTGAGCTCCAGCTCTGCTGGGAGGGCAAGACCTCTGCATGTATCCCAAGCCCTCTCCTGTCCTACGGACTCTGCTGCTGCAATCCTCCCCCCCCCCCCGCTCCCGGGCCAGCCCCGCCCCCAAGCCTCCTGTGCCACCTGCAACTGTCTCCAACTGTCACTGCACCGTCTCTAACCCTTCACACTCTCTCCTTAACCCTCCGTTGGGTATCTGTACCCCGACCTCCGCTGAATCTATTCCTGGTGGGTCATTCGTGACTCCATGCCACCAAGCGTGTCCTCCTAATTTCTCAGCAACACTTTAGACCACAGACTGCCCCCTTCCCCGAGAACACTGCAGGTTCGAGGTCACCCTTCTTCTCGGCCTCCTTTTCTCCCCCGAACTCCCAATCACCAAGTCTCACTGAGCGTGATTTTTTTTTTTTTTTTTTTTTTTTGCCCCTTCTCCCCCAGGGACATTTGGCAATCGGCACCTGGAGACATTCTTGACCGTCACAACGGGAGGAAGGGGGTTGCTACTGCCGTCTAGTGGGTAGAGGCCAAGGATGCTGCTAAACATCTTACAAAGTACAGGACAGCCCCGCAACAAACAATTATGAGGCACAAAACACTAATAGCGCTGCCCTAATGTCGCAGCACCCCTGTTCAGTCCTGGGGTCCCTTTTCTTCGGAACCCAAACTCTTTGTAACTTCATCCAGCCCCCTAGCTCCCAACCAGATGCTGAGGACTCCCCGAAGTCCGTCTCCCGCCCTGAACCCCAGGCTCATTCAGCCCACACACTCCCTTACCTCCCCTGAGGTCTCCGTGCTGTATGGGAAGCCCCTGCAGCCAATAGCAAGTGCAGTTGCCTCAACTGCCGAAGCATGCTCCAAAAGCATCCACTCTGCCCCTTCCACAGCCCCATCGCTCGGGCTTGCACAAACTGTAGTGCCTTCCACCTGGCCTCCCTGCTGCCAGTCTACTCTCCACGGAGCATCCAGGATGACTTCTAAAAGCTTAGATCTTATCACTCCCCCCTCCTTAGAATCCTCCAGCAGCTGCTCCCTGTTGCTCTTGGAATAAAACCATCCCTCTCAACCCCTGCCCCGCCAACCTCCCCACCGCCCCACCTCACTTCATCCCTCCACTCACACCTTAACTCCCTCCTGCCTCAGGGCCTTTGCACTGCCTATTTCCTTGGATTTTTCACAGAGCAGTCTCTATCATTTGGGTCCCAGTGGAAATGCCAGCATCCTAAAAAGAATGTCCTCCTCCCCCATCATTTCTAAATCCCTGATGACTTCTTTTACCTATTTACTGTCCATCCTTTGTCTACCCCCAAATAAACTCCATGAGAATGGGAACCCTGCCTTGCTCACCTTGTTACTCCCAGTTCCTATAGCCGAGCCAGCCTGGCACCTAATTCAACAGATTCTGTTGAATGAGTGAATAAATTGATGAGTGAGGCCACATAGTTATACAGTTGGGGATTAGGGAATAGGCCACGGACCCTGGGATGGGTGGCTAGCCACCAGCTGCTTAACAGCCAGTGCCCCATCCACAGCATGCAGCCCATGCCAAGGCTTCAGGGGCTGAGCCGAGGCTCGACCACGGGGACAGGGTGGGGCTTGTGGAATAAGCCTGGGAAACAGGGTCTGTAGTGACCCTGTCCTCACGGGGTAAGGACAAGGACAGCCTCGGCCCTGGTCACCCCCAAAGAAGAGGGGGGAAGCACTCTTCCCCTTGAGCCCCCAGGCTCGGCCAGCCCCACCTGCAGAACCCAAATTCTGGAGAATCTAAAAGCCACATTCTAACGGAGGCTAATGACAGGCAGCCTCTGAGAGCTGGGAGGGCCTCACAGGGCACAAAGCACTCCCCCCGCTCTGACTTCGTGTGACCACTAAGAAACCCCAACCCAGCACCAGAGGCCTGGCTCCACTACTTAGAGAGACCCATAGGTGGTAAGGCGGTCACACTCCTTTCTCTGATAAATGGGGGTACTATGTACGCTCTCGATCTTTGCTTGGGAACCTCCCAGAGGAACGCCGCCCGCTTCCCCCCCCCCCCCCCCGTAGAAACGGGGCCGAGCCTCTCCTCCCTCACTCTAAGCTCGCTCAGCCGATCGTCCTCTCCTGTCTGGGGGCAAACAGAGGGACCGTGTTCCCCAACCCATGATCCTTCCCTGATGCTAATGCCTGAGACTAGGCCCCTGCTCAGTCTGAGAAAATCCCAGATGCAAGATGGACCCAGGGCAGAGGCTCCGGCCTCCCAGGAGCATGCCCTCATGTCCCCTGACTGGGTCCAGGAGGCAGGCAAAGGCCAAGCTCTCCCCAGCCCTGAAACACGGCAAGCCTCAGCCCTGCGGGGCTGCTCCCTCAGCCATGCCCCTCTGCTGCCAAGTCCCTCTCTGCCCCAGGGAGGAGGGTGTGAGCCCCCCAGGGCCCCTCCCGCATCAGTCGGCAGGGTTAAACGCACTCATGCATAGCCCAGTACCTGGTTCCTGGAGCAAATACCCAATTTTATTTGTGCCGTCCCCCAGAATGTCTGAGGTGCTTGGCCCCACGGGGCCCGGACCCAGGCTCCTACTTCCCTCCTACTCCAAGCAGGGCTTCCAACAGGCCACGAGAATAGTGCCTCTCCAGGACTGGGGGGGGGGGGTGGGGGGGCTCCTGGCCTATAAGCCTTCACACAGCAAGCCAGGAGGTAAGGCTAGGGCTTTGGTGAAGGAAGAAAAGCAGGTTGACTACCCCCTCCCCACCTCCCCAGCCCCTTCCATCTTCCAGGACCTCCGCTGATCAAGTCCCTGGCTGGTGGGGAGAGAGAGGGGAAGGCTCCTGGGAATAGCAAAGCAAGGTGGAGAAGAGCTTGGAGTCATGTGGTCAGGGCCTCCTGTTCTTGCTGTTTCCCCGCTGTGCAGTGCTGGAGGCCTCCACCCCTTCCTCAGCATCCCTGGGATAGCATTCCTGGCGCTGAAGCCCCCACCCCCGCACTGCAGGGGAGCAAGCTGAAAGCCCCCTGGGGAGCCGAGCTGGAGGCTGCAGCTGCAGGGTAATATTCCTAACACCAAACACCAGGGATGGGAGGCCGGCCCCAGGGTCCCAGCCACAGGCTCCCCAAGTCCTGGCCTGAGAGGTGGCAGTGCCTGAGCATGCTGGGGGGGCTGGGACTCACCCAGGGGAGGATGCCCAGGGGCCTTCAGGGCTGGAACCTGCCTCTGCCCCACCTCTCCAGACCCCTGGGGTTCCAGAGCCCTGGAGAGTATCGTCTCCCCTTCCCAGCAGCCTCTAGGCCTGCCTACCCACCCACCCCCGCCCCCGATGGACCTAGGAGTCCCCTTTGTCCCGAGGAACCCTCAGGAGAACATATGGGGAAGGAAGGGGCAGAGGGAGAGTCCTAGGCCTCAGACAGGGGAGCCATCTTGGGGCTGGAAGAGCAGGTACTGGCCGGGAAGGCCAGGGGTTACACAACCCAGCTCTTCGAGACTGAGGATGCCCTTCCCCCTTGGGGACAGAAGCCACAGGCTCGACCTCCTGGCATCCCCCTGAAAGGACTTTCAGGTACATGTGTTCCTGGCAGATCTGGGGTCCCCAAAGCATCCTGGATAGGCACTAGCTGGTCTTCTGCTTCTGGAGCCGCGGTTGGGGGTACAGAGGGCACACGGGCCAGCCAGGACGTCTCTAGAGCAATACCAGGAACACCTGCTCCAGGCCTGGAGTTCAGGGAGGAAGCTGGGGTCTGAAGCAGCCCTGCAGATGCCCGCAGAGTGAACTTCCTTGGCGCAGGGCGCTCCCAGCTACGTGGGCTCTCTCCGGGCCCTGCAGCAACATGCAGGGCTCCAGCCTTGGGGGCACCGGTGTCGGGGCTCCCAGATTCTGCCAACAACACCTTCAGAAGCCGCTGCAGGTATGGTCTAGAGGCAGGAGTAGGGCTCCTACCATCGCTGTGGGGCTGGAACCCTGAAGCAGGAAAGATAAGAGGTTACGTCGCAGAATCCCAGAGGGAAGATGCACTGCCCCGCCATAGAGTGCCGGGGCCATTTTCAGTCTTAGCCACAGCTCGTTGAAGACAGCCTGCCACACCCCTGCTCAGCCACTGCTCAACACCTTCAAGACCCAAATTCTCAGTTCCCACTGAAAAACAAGGACCACAGAACCATCCCTTCCCTTCCCCTCCCCTCCCCTCTTGGTCTCATTAGTCACCACCAGCAGGTCAGGCCACAGGGATCTTCCATGACCTTCCACCCCGAGCCCAAGCTGCGGACGGTCAACTCACCGGATAGCCGAGGGCTGATAGCACGGCAGCCCCCACTGTCCCGTCACCTCCTGGGGCCCTCTGTACTGAGCGACCCCCTGCCTCTCACCCCACATTTGAGGTCTCCTGCAGAATTTCTCCTGCACTTGTAACCACCTCCATCACGGTCAGGCACATGCACTCAGCAGGATGGGGCCTCCTCGCTCTTCACGGCCACTCCCAGACCATGGCCCCAGAGTTTTATAAAACACATCTTAAGCCCAAGTTATATCCAGCCAGGCCCCTCCACCCCCTTGTGCTGCCTCTCACCCGCCACACCTGCCCATGCACCGAACGCTTCACAATGAGCCCAATCTTCCATCAACAGACACTGACCATATCAGGGCTGACCTGCTTCAGCCAGCGACTCTTCTCCCTCCTGGTCGCATTGACCTCACAGCTCGCTCCCCCAGACCTGGGCAGTACCAGAAACCACCACTGCAGAAGTCTCCGTTCCTGGCTGCCCACTCCTGTACTTTGAAGCTCACTTGTTTAAATATCACAATTCTTCAGCTCCACCGAGCACATGGACCCCAAGGTCTTCCTGCTCTACCACCTCCCCGCTTCCAGACCACTCTCTGCACCCGACTTGGGCTCTACAGCCCTCACTGCAAGTATTCCTCAAGCACCTTCCCCTCTGTCACATCCGCCCACAAAATCCCAGTCCTGGAGAACCGAGTTGCCAACCTACGCTGCGCCTCCACCTGGCCACCAGCTGCCCCAGCACCACCCACAGCCCTATGGAGTGTCTCCAGCGGGTTCTTCTGCCACCTAGTCAGCAGCGTCGCACCTTTCCCTGCACATTCATCCCCTTCTCCCCAACCTCTAGGCTAGTGACCTCATGTCATGCTTTGTGACCAAAGCCCTCAGAAGCCCATGCATCTGCACATCATGATCCACATGCAAAGTTAGGTCTGCTCCTGTCTTCCTTATTAGGTCCAAGGAATCTCAGACATTCTCAGAGACCTATCCACCAAGGGCAGCACCTACCCAAATGTTCTAGATATTATCCCCTCTGCCCTCTAAATCCACCCTTTTTTCCTTCTCCATTGGGTCATTTCAGCTCCCGAACGTGCTTGAATGTCTACCATCATGATTAACCTCCTCTTGACCCACAGCCCTTTCCAGCCACCTCCCAGTTCCATTCCTCATAGTAGTCCCACCTCTAGAATACCCACAAAGCTCTTGCCACATCATCTTTTTAACTTAAAAAAAAAGAGCATGTAATATTTGATATTATGTATGGGAAAGAATAGCCTAAGAAATGGTGCTAGAAATGGATAGTCACATGCAAAAGGCTTAGGATTAAATCTTCATGACCTTGGATTAGGCAAAGGCTACTTAGATAGGACACCAAAAGCACAGTTAAAGGATGGAGAAGTTAGACCCCCATCGAAATTAAAAATGTTTGTATTCAAAGGACACCATCAACCTATAGAATGTGAGAAAATACTTCCAAATGACGAGTATAAGGGACATGTATCTAGAATACACAAAGAACTTACAACTCAGCAATAGAAAGACAACCCAAATGAAAAACTGGCAAAAGGATTTAAACACATTTCTCAAAGAGGATATACAGATGACCAATAAGCATATAAAGAGATCATTAGGGAAATGCAAATCAAAACGACAATGAGACACCACTTCATACCCACTTAGGATGGATATAATCTGAAGAGTAGATAATAGCAAGTGTTGGCAAGGACATGGAGAAATTTGAACCCTCATACAACTGCTAGTGGGAGTGAAAAATGATGCAGCTAATTTGGAAAACATAGCATTTAAATCTGGAGTTACCATAGGACCCAGGAATCTACTCCTAAGTATATATCCAAAGGAAAAGACACGCATTCGCGTAAAATCTTATATACAAACATCCATAGTAGCATTAATCATAATAGCCAAAAAGTAGAAATAACCCAAATATCTTTCAACTGATGAACAAAATGTTGTATATCCATACAATGGAGTGTCATTTGACAATAAAAGAACGAAGGACTCATACATGATACAATATGGATGAGCCCTGAAAACATTATGCTAAGTAAAAGCAGCCAGTCACAAAAGATCACGTATTGTAGGATTCCATTTACATGAAATTTCCAGAACAGGCAAACCTAGAGAGACCGAATGTAGATCGGCAGTCATCTAGAGCTGGGGTTAGGGGCACTCACATACAAGTGAAGGAGGTTGAATGTCTTGTGTTTACTTCTCATTTGGTTTCTCCTGTGAGATGCTTGTTAGGTCTCTTGCCTGTTTTATCTACTTTGTACTTCCAGCTTTTTATTATGTATATTATATACATTATATTAACTATATAATATATATTATGTATTTTAGGTACAATTAGTTATGTGTTACAAAAGTTTTCTGATTTGTAATTTGTATTTTCACTTCGTCTTTTGATTAGTAGTTATACTATAATAATTACATAAGTTATTAATGTAGTTGGATTTGTGAATCTTTCCAGTTTTATGGTTTGCTTTGTGTCTTATTAAAGAAGTCCTTATCCCAAGGTCATGAAGGTCATTTCACTTTTTCCTAAAGCTTTTTCTATTTATATGTAAGTCTTGTATATATCTGAGATGTATTTGCACATGAGATGGGAATTTTTTTTAATAGATAACTAGTCATCTTAGAGCCATTTAATGACTAGTCTATTCTTTCCCTAATGATCAGCAATGCCCCTTTATCAAGGCTCCACTTCTGAGTAGAATCATTTATGGACTCTCCATTCTGTTTCAATGGGCAATGGTCTATCCTTGCACTAGTTCTATGCATTTATAGACATTTTATATACATACATTTCATGTAATGTATTTTGTATGGTATACATTTCTATATATTTCTATAAATATATTTTTAAACTGTATATCTTGATATCTGCTAGGGCAAGTCCCACCATTTTTCTTCAAGGGTATCTTGGCTATTGTTTGCCTTTTGTGTTTTGTTTCTTTTTAATAATTTTTTAAAAGATTTTATTTACTTGTCAGAGAGAAAGAGTGAGCACAAGCAGGGGAAGCAGCAGGCAGAGGGAGAAGCAGGCTCCCTGCTGAGCAAGGAGCCCAATGTGGGACTCGATCCCAAGACTCGGGGATCATGACCTGAGCCGAAGGCAGATGCTTAACCAACTGAGCCACCCAGGTGTCCCAACCCTTGTATTTCTATTTAAGTTTTAAAATCACCTTGCCAAGATTGCCAAAAAGTTTCTTGGGATTTTTAGTGGGAATTGATGGCATCTATAGATCAGAATTGACATTTTTACATTGTCTTCCTATTAATGAACAGGATACATGTCTCTATGTATTTAAGAATCTTTAATGATTTTAATAAAGGTTAATTTTCCATAGAACTTTTTATAGAACTTCTGTCAGACTGATTCCTTGGGACCTTATTATTGCTATTATAATGGTTTTTTTAAATTATGTTTTCCAACTATTGATATAATCAATATAGAAATTTCTATACCTCTTTTAAAATTCTTATTGCTGGGGCACCTAGGTGGCTCAGTCAATTGAGCATCCCATTCTTGGTTTCGGCTCAGGTCATGATCTCAGCGTCATGGTATTGAGCCCCACATCAGGCTCAGGGGGAAGTCCCCCTGAGATTCTCTCCTTCTTCTGCCCCTCCTCCCCAAAATAAATCTTTAAAGAATAAGATAAAATTCTAATTGCTTCCAATAATTTAATAGGTTTTGTTGCTTTCAGTGTAGATAATCATCTATGAGTAGTGACAGTTTTTGCCTCCTTCCCAATCCTCAGAGTTTTCATTATTTCTCTTGCTGTACTGCAATGGCTAAGATCTTCACTACAGCATTGAACAGATGAGACAATAGTGGAAAAACATGTTTTGGTCCCAATTTTAGTGCTTTTACATTAAACATGATTTTTGCTCTGGGTTTTTGGTAGATACCCATGTTAAGGTTAAGAGAGTGACCTCTCTTCCTGTTTACTAACAGTTTTTAATCATAAGTGAGAATTTTCAAATGCTTTTTCTACATCTCATGTGGTAAACCCCTGATGATTTCACCCTGCTCACCTCTGCAACCTCAGTCCTACCACTTCACCCTCATGGACACCACCCTCAACATAGGAACCTGCTCCAGATTCCTCAGATCACTCTGCCCCTTGTCACTCACCTCCCCCACGGGGGCCTTGGCCACTTGGGCTGCAGTCATAGAGCCTGAGGACCCGTGTGATGTCCGAGGTGCTCAGGTTCCATCGCTGGCCAATGTGAACATTGGGAGCCCAGATCGGTGTGATGGTGGGCAGCCCACGGCGGCTGAAGGCAAACCTGAAACCCAGCAGGTGGGGACCTGAGTCCAGATCACAGTGGGGGCTGGAGGGGCAATGAAGAAGGGAGAAAGGAAAGGAAAAGGGGTCCTCACCTCCCATAGTGCATCACTGATGTGTAGTCATAGGGCATCAGCATGTTGCTGCTCCGAGATTTGATGAAGTTGATTTCAAAGCCTGGGGGTGTTGGGGTCGGGGGGAACAACCACAAAACTTGGTAATGGGAAAGAGGGTGGGTGGGGGAGTGAGGGGTCAGGTGATAGGGGCCTTCCAGCAACTTGTAACCTGTGTGAGCTGAAGGATCCAAAACTATAGCCAGATGTGCCCCCTACCCAGTACCAGTCCCTGGTCCCCACCTCCTTGGTGCCTTCCCTGCCTACTCCTTCCCTCCCCAGGAGGGGTCCAGACCTGCACTAGCTGATGTGGAAGCACAGGGACCTCATGACTTCCTAAAGAGTGCCCTCCACTTCTCGCCCTGCTCAAGCTCACCTGGATGCATCTATCTTTGTAGAACCTACACTTTCCATGGAGTCGCATACCACTCCATGTCTTCAACACCCCTTACCCAAGAGATGGAGTACCTACCCTTCAACCTAGCTTTAGAGACCCACTAGCCCATCACCTGCTGTTGAACTCCACTCCCCAGCAGCAAGCCACCTTGTTCTTTCTGCCTTGGGCTGGCGCACCCACCCCCAGGTTTGAGTCCAGCATTTTCCCACTGGTCAGAGCACCCACTTTTCCCCGTCACTGCCATACCTGCCTCTACAGAATTCTTCATCCTTCCTTTTAAAAACCCTTAAGATATTAAACAGTTTTGAACAGAATATATTCATCTGGTTCAAAAGTCAAAAAATGTTGAGATGTATAATAAGTCTCCCACTCCATCCCCCTTCTGATGTCCTGCCTCCCCATCCCCAGTTCATTACTGTCATTAGTTTGTATATCTTAGCAGTTTGCTCTATACATAATACAAATATATTCTTATTTTTCTTCATTCTTAGTGGGAAAAATTGCTTAAGAAAACCACTTGAGTTTGAGTGCTGGTTTTCTAATTCATTAATTCCTGTCTTTAACTTCATCAATTCCCTCCTGCTTTCCTTTACTTTTTCCTAATTTGGATTGAAATGCTTAATTTTCTATTTTTATTGATAGAAGTATTTAAGTCTACACATTTTCCCTGAGCATTGCTTTAGCTGAGAACCATCAGTTCTAGTGTGTTGGGTTTGGTTTTTGTTTTTCTAAGAATTCCTGCAATTCTTTAACCCTGGAGCTAAAAGAAAGGATTATCGTTGTTTTTTAAACTTTAATTTCTAAGTAGAAGTTTTGGATTATTTTTATTTTATATCACAATCAAAACATTTAACTCTTTCAAATTTGAAGTTTTTCTATCATACGGTAAGTTTTCCCAAGTATTCCATGAGCACTTGGAAGGATTAAAGTCTCTATTTTCAGGGTATAGTCACTATCATCACCCCCTTCTTTAGGCTAATCTCAGATCTCAAACTCCATCCCTTGTCTCATTATAAGGTGCTACCTAAGTGCCCCCCATGGCACCCTTTCTCCGGGGCTCCGTGCATGCTGGTCTCTTGAGTACCCTCCCCCAACATTACCTGGGGGAGGTACTCTCATGAGTACCCAACATTACCTGGCTCACCCCACAACAGCAGTGGAGGTGCTCCCACCAGAAGCTCTCTTACAGGAAGCCTTCCAACCCTTTCCCTTACCCCCACATTCCCCCAAATTCCCGATCATGTATCTGCCCTACTTCCATCCCTCATGAAGCAGTGGCCTCTCCTCTTCTCACCTCCTGACTCAAGCTGTGTCCCCTCTGCCCGCCACAAGCGAGGGATCCCACCATTCCCGAGATCAGATGCCCAGCACTCAGCCCTACACCCAGCACACAGCTCCTGCTCACCAGCATGCAACACAGTGCCTCACTCCCCAAACCAGGCTCGGCTCTACCACTGCCACCTTTTGGGACATGGTCTCCCCCGGGCTTCCTCTGTCCCACATGCCCGTTGGTACCCAGCTCACGAGGACTGAGCCCCTGCAGGGCTGTCCTCAGCCTCCTCCATCAGACACTTGGCACACACAGCCCACTACTTCCAGGGCTTCAGTCTCGGCTCCACCCATGCAGCTGGAACACAGCCCCCTACCCCAACCCCACCCAGCAGTGTCTGGCACAGGAAGGACACCATGAACAAGGGTCAAAGGATACCACCAACTCCATCCTCAGGTACCTGGCTGTGTTCATGAGGAAAAAAAGAAAAAGGAGACACAAAGCAAATAGTGATGCCCTAGCTCGGGCAGGACTATGGGCGAGCAGATGGAAGGCTGGGAGCCCAGAGCGGTAGTATCCGGACCACCTCCCGGTCTCAAAGAGAACCAGGAGCCCCACCTTCCCCATGGTAGACAGACAGATGGTGGGGAAGATGGATAAGCTCTTCTAAGTGGCAGGCAACTCAGGCCCTGGCCATTGGCCTCTCACGCCAGGCCCCCCCAGGCCTGGCCCGTGCTGTGCGAGACTTGGCTTACCTGGGAGGACCTCATTCCAGTGGATACGAATATAGCGGTCCCGATCAGCCCGTGAGTGCTCATGCCAGAACCCCAGCACATGCATGAGCTCATGTAGGACAATGCCTGGGCCTTTCCGGAGACAGGGAGGTGCCAGGGACACCACCTGCATCCCTCCACTGCGTCCCACACTGGAGAAACATCTGCGGGCCAGGAGAGAGCACTGGGTAGGTACCAGTCCAGAGATCCAGAGCAGACCCAGGCCCCCTTCCCCTTCCTCTCCCAAGTCCTGGGATGAATGAGCACCAACAGGTAGTCCCCATCCTAGATTCTAGTCCCAGGCTTGCTGTTCCCAAGGCCATTCACTGCCTGGCCATCTGTGAAACGGGTATACTGAATTCCCATTCCCAGCCTAGGGTACAAGGAGGACGGAGGGATGGAGAGGAGCACCTATAATGGAAGCAGCTCGTGGAGTGAACGTCCCCATGCAGGGGTCCCCGAGTCAACGCTTTCACACATGATCCTCGGTACCCAACAAGCTAGGAAGTGTGTACCTCCAGCATCCCCACTTCGGAGGCTCTCGCCCGGTGTCAGGCGGTTCCTACACTGTGGAACCTGGATCGGAGGCCAGGTGGGCCCCACAGACGCCGTACCCGTTCCCCAGACCATGAAGTCTCCGCAGAGCAGGGTTTTGTGAGGAGGGTCAAGCACCTCCTTCCCCTCCTTCTCCACCTTCCACCCTGAGTATCTGTAGGTCCAGCTCCCACCCAGCAAACCACTCAGTGGGCAGGGTGGCTTTGGACCTGGGAAGCCAGGCCTAGAGACAGGTTTTAGATGAGGGCTTGGGTAAGTCCTAGCTGAACTCCGAAGAACGCAGAGGAACCCCCTCTCCCCATGGACACACGGACACCCCCAGAAGCACGTACCCAGACATGGGAATGATGGAAATGAAGTCTCTCTGGCCCTGGTAGGCGACAAACCTGATGCACGTGAGGCGCTCAAATTCGGCAAATGCCTTCAGGAGGACCTCGCGGCTGCGTTTATCTGGGGGGGGCGACACTGTGGCTGAACCTCCAGCGGAGACCCCAGAGCCCTTGTGACCCCTCGCAAGTTTGCATGCAGGGTGGGAACAGAGCTTCCAAGCACTCTTCCAAAATGGAAAGGTCAAGAAAGGGCAGCCTAAGTGTCACGGGGCGGGGGGGAAGCTGGGCCCCAGACAGGCCCTGGCTATGCAACCTCGGGCAGGTCCCTGTCCTCTGGGCCAGTCGGCCTTGAAATGGAGCAGATAGTCCTTCTATGTACCCCTATCTGCTCCGCCGGGCTTTTAGCCCTCCCAGCTCCCGAGGTCCTCAGGAATAAAGGCTTCTCGGGGAAGGGTTCTTTGGTGGTGACGGCAAAGAGGCAGAGGGACGAACCCCAGCAGAGCCCAGGCTACACAGGGTGTAAGAGGCTGAGGCCACAGGGAGGCCCACAGCTCCCAGGATGGAGCGTACGCGCTCACTCACCGTACTTGCTGGAGAGCAGGAAGGGGACCTCCACAAACCCCCCGTTCTTAGGCCACCTGTTGCTGCTCGCCGAGAACAGCCGGAAGGGACTCTGAAGAGAGAGGGCAGTTCTGGGACCGTGGGGGACACAGGTCAGCCAAGCTTCTTGCCCCCAGAGGTGCCGTGTCTCAGGCCCCAAGAACCCGAAAGACGGGAGAAGCGGGACGCAGGCATAGGAGGGTGAGGACAGAGGGGTGGGACAGCCGGGGGCCTCCGGGTGAGTTACAATATACAACACGACCCTTTGTCCTACAGAACTGTAACCTATCCCGTCAAGCAGAACAAAACCCGGCACTTGCTCCTGGGGAGGCTGACTAGGAGTGCCAGCTCCCCAGGGTGGCCCAGTTGAGAAAGGCTGAGCTCCAGCCACAGCCCCGTCCTTCCTGAAACCCAGCAGTCAGCTGAGCGTCCCTGAACGTCCAGGGAAAGATGAGGCAGCGTCCTTCTCAGGCTGATGCTAAGGCAACTTCCCTGGCCTTAGCAACTCCTTTTTCCACTCTTGTGCCAACCAAAACCCTGCGAGGCATAGGCTCCATGGCACCCGGCCGGTCCTGCCCCACTGGCTACCACAGGTTTTACTGGATTCGTGCTTCCCCCCGCTGTCCTCACCGGGTGACCAGGAACAGAGGCCTCGCCCCACCCACCAGCCCCAGCCCGTGGCTCTGCAGCCCGGCCTCATGTTGAGCCAACAGTGGGCAGCCTCCAACCAGCAAAACCGTCCTGCTCTCACCAGGTCACTGTCCTGTTCAGGAGGACACCTCTACCACCCAGTCCCTAAGAAGATAGCCTTGTTCTCCTGAACACCGAGCATCCTCATCTCCCTGGCAAGTCACCCCAGTTCCCACCCAGCCTTCTCCCTGACTCCACCCCTCCTACCAGGATGGGGTCCCAGACCATGGCTACCACCCCCGGGGTGCCCCACCACCACCTCCCTACAGCCCCACCAGCGCCTCTGCCAGTCTGTGCTCATCTCTTCCTCCATTCCAGTACTTTCTGAGCACCTCCCCTGGGCAGAGCACCAAGCCGGACCTTGAAGGCTCAAACCCCCTCCTTCAGGAAGCCCTCCCAGGCTGAATGCTGTTACCACTGCAGATGTTACCCTCCCTCCCATTCAGTCTGGCTGATTCCTACTAGATCATTCACTGTGACTTTAGCCAGAAAGGGTATTTATCAGGCTACGGGCAACAGATTTTGGATCCCTCACGTATCACATCCCCATGACACCGGAGGCTGGGCTCAAAGGCCTCTAACGCTATCTGGGAAGTTGTTTACACGCATGTGTGTACATGCTCACACTCACTGGCCGAAGGATATCCCCCTCCAGGAGGAAGCTGCTCTCCGGGGTTTCCTCTGGGATGAGCCCTGGGAAGAAGGGAGGGATGTGGGTGAGCCCGTGCCCTCCCTCCACCCAGAGTCCAGACTCTAGGGACAGGCCCAGCAGCCACCCCAGAGTCTGGCCTTCCTGACCCTGAAGGGGGAGCTTCCCTGGGCCCTGAGGCTGTGTGACCTCAGGCAAGTCACACAGTCCCTCTGAGTCTCTAGTCTACAAACATGCATGATGGATCTCAGCCCAATCACATCTCTCCCTTGTTAGAAAACAGTCCATGGCTCCCCCAGCCCGCGCAAATCCAGGCCCAACCCCTCCCTCTCTGCTAATCAGGAGAAGCCATTTCTTCAGCTGTCCCCTATATCACCCCCCTCTCCAACCCAGGCCACACTCTTTCCTGTGAGCCTCAGCACAGCTGAGTGGGAGCAGGGCAGTGTGCCACGATTTGGTGACTGTGACTGGTCCGGAGGGAGCTAGAACCAATCTGAGGCTTCCCTAGGATTGATTTCTTTTCAGCTGCCATAGAGGATACTTAGCCAGGGCTGCTGGAGGCCCAACAGCTATCTGAGATGCCCTTTACTGGGAAGGACACGCCATCCCCAGCCGCCAAGAATGTTGGCTAAGGCCTCACAGCTGAAGGCCCTTGGCCAGGGATGCCTGGGAAGCCATACTCCATACCCAGGCCATACTCCAACATGCCCTGGGCTCTCCTGTCCTTCCTCATCCCCCCATCTAGTTCCTACCCATCTGTGTGATAGTCAGGGCCCTCGCAGTGACAAGTGACCAATTCCAGCTCACACCACCATAGAAGGAAGGAAGGTGTCTGGCTCCTGTGAGCCTGGCTCTCTCCCTCCCCACATCAGCCTGTCTCTGCTTCTCTCTCCAGCCTCGGTTTCTGCCACAGCAGGCAGCCCTTCTCCCCAGCCTCCTTACTAAGAGGTCAGCCCTACGAGGAGTCCTGGAAGAGGGTCTGGCCCTGAGGCACATTAGGTTGGGCTCCCTAGATGCAGAGCCTGAGCTGGGGAGGCACCTGCAAGTGATTTCTTGAGGGGGCTCTGGGGAAGACCCAGGCTCTGCTGCAGTGCAGCCTCAACCTGATCCCACAGGAGCTCTGGACCCCAAACGGCACCACACACTTGTCCCACACTGAGGCAGGGGGGCTGCCCCATGGCCCCTATGAGTCACTGTGGGCTGCCCTGGGCAGGGGAGGGAGTAGCTTCCCAGGCATCCCTGGCCAAGGGCCTTCAGCTGTGAGGCCTTAGCAGCCAACATTCCTGGCAGCTGGGGATGGCATGTCCTTCTCAGTAAGGGGCATCTCAGACAGCCATTGGACCTCTAGCAGCCCTGGCTAAGTATCCTCTATGGCAGCTGAAAAAAAATCAATCCCGGAGAAGCCTCAGATTCTAGGTTCTAGCTCCCTCCGGACCAGTCAAAGTCACCGAAAGGTGGCACACTACCCTGCTCCCGCTCAGCCGTGCTGGGGCTCACAGGAAAGAGGAGGAAGACCACGCGGTCACTGGGAGGTTCTCATCCCCTCAGGCAAAGTCACCCCGTTCCCCCAACACTTCAGCTCCAACCTCCAAAATCCAGGCTCCCCCCCCCCCCCCAGCAGCTTCACCCCGGGCTATCTCTATGTTCTTTCTTCAGCGGAGATCCCCAGACAGGGAGGCGTGAGGCCTCGTGCAGCTTTGGCTTTGCCCCCCAGCACACGCCCTCACACCTGCACACCATCCTGCCCCAGGTGGCTGCCATCTCAAACCCCCACTAATGACTTCGCTCAACACCAGGTGGAGCACCCCAAAGACCTGTACTTTTATCAGGCCATTTTTTAAAAACCTATGTTTTTCTCTTACAATCCAGTAGAGAAGATACAGAAATAGAGACTTTTTAAAAAGTTACCCATAGAACTAGGAACTGCTGCTCATCCAGAGCCCAGTGAGCTGGCACATTTCCAGCTTGTTCTGCTTGGCTGCGTGTTCAGCATGGTCTTCACCACAGCACATGGACCACTTTCAGAGCCCTTCTACCCCACAAGACGACACCATGCCCTCACCTTGGTTAATCGCAGGGATGTCCTTGTCCCAGGATGTCTGGGTCTCTTCAGGGTTGAGGCCGTCTGAGAAGCTGGTTCCACAGGCTTCTTGGGAGCTGCAGGCTGAGGGCGCTCCTAGGATCAAACCTGGCCCGGACAGGTGCATACCCATGAGGCCCGAAGCGCCCTCATTGGTGAGAGAGGACAATAGCACATGGGAGTGGGGGTGGAGGGGGTCAGACAGCTAGAGCCAGGCCCTTCATGGAAAGCAGGCCTCCAGAAAGTAGTCCTGGAAGACCTCCTGGCCTCCCCTCAGTCCCAGCTGGTGACAAGAGCTAGACAACCTTGAGGAAGGTGCTCCTTTAAGGGGACCAACACTGGGCTCTGAGTATCTGTGGGTATGGGGTAGGGGAGGGAGCAGAAGAGAGGCGGGGACAGACCTCAGACACCCACACTGAAGGCAGTGTGGGCTAGCCTGGACCCTGCCCCATGCCTCCCTTCTCAGCCCAGACCTCTGGAAAATGGACTCAGACTGGGCAAGCCTGGCATGCCAGGAGAACTCCTTCTCGCCTCTACCCACACTCTGTGGCTGGACCCAAAACTCGAGAAGAGAAGGGCGAGGCAGCCCACTTACCTGGCAAAGAGAGTAGACCAAGCACCCACGGCCAGAGGCCTCCCATGTTCACGTGGTCTGTAGGGGGACCCCACTGGCCCCACAACAAGCAGGAGCCCAAACACCAGCAAGGACAAGCCCGCCTAATAGCGGACCTAACGCCAATCCCCGCCCCCACCCAGCCCTTAAATAGCAACTTCTCCAGCCCCCACCTGCAGCCCCACCCCAACCAACCCCACCTGCAGCCCTGCCTCCATCAACGCCACCGGCAGCCCTGCCCCCTCCCACCTGTGCTCCCCACCCTCAGCCCCCCAGCCCAGGCCGGAGCCTTCAGGACCCAGGTCAAATCCTTCTCAGCCTGGCTGAAGTAGGGGAAAAGGTGAGAAGCCAGGCACAAAGCACCCTGCAGGGAGGGAGAGTACCACTGGGGAGTGTGCCTCTTCTGAGGTCCCCTCTCACCACCAGGGGGCAGGGAAACATCACAGAAGGGTGCTAAGGTGAGGGGGCAGGGGACTTCATTCTCCAACAGAGGGAGACCCCTTTCCTGCCACGCCCCGCCCTGCGCTCACACCTGGGAAAAGCTGCCCGAGACCCTGAGGCACCCCCAGCCTATCTGTGGAAGAAGGAAAGTGTCACTAATTTTTATAAGTGTTTACTTTAGTATACATAGAAGAAAGTGGACAATCACAAGTGCAGGGATCCGGAAAAATTTACACACTGAACGCCCGGTGTAACCAGCACCCCAGAGAAGCCTGCCGTGTCGATGGGGGAGCTTCTGGATACCTAGACCTTTGCATGGACACTACCCCTGTCATCCCCACAACAGCCTTGCAAAATCGGCATTTATCCCCATTTCACAGATCCAGAAACTAAAGCTCCTTACCCATATTCCTCCTCTTCTATGCTCCTGGGCATCTCGAGAGGCCCATTCTCAGAGCTTGGTCACGAGGGGGCCCACCTGGATTTAAATCCTGGAGGTGAAGGATTTGGGGACCTCCCCCACCAATGCCCAGTGAAGGGAAGTGACAGAGCTGAGGCAAGGTCACCAGCCACGGTCCACACGTGCTTCTCAGCATCCTGCCATGCCTGGAATCCAACATTTCTCAAAAGATACCAGTCAGAACCACGGGGAGAACAGACAGATGCCCCTGCCCCCCAGGCCGGGTATTAGTGTATGTAAACATGCATGAACTGGCCACATCTGATGAGAGCTGTGTAAAATCATCCTAATAATCACCCCGCTTGGATAGAGAAACAGATTCTTAGTCAAGAAATGCAGTTTGAGGGGCGCCTGGGTGGCTCGGTCATTCAGCATCTGCCTTCGGCTCAGGTCATGATCCCAGGGTCCTGGGATCGAGCCCCACATCCGGCTCCCTGCTCCGTGGGGAGCCTGCTGCTCCCTCTGCTGCTCCCCCTGTTTGTGTTCCCTCTCTCGCTTTGTCTCTCTCTGTCAAATAAATAAATAAAATCTTAAAAAAAAAAAGAAATGCAGTTTGACTTGAGGACATTATGCGAAGCAAAATAAGTCCTTTGCAACAGGGCAAATACTGTATGATTCCACTTATAGGAGGTACATAGTCAGATTCAGAGACAGGAAGTAGAATGGTTGTTGCCAGGGCCTGGGGGAAAGGGGGAATAGGGAGGTGTTGTTTAATAGGCACAGAGTTGCAGTTCTGCGAGATGGAAAAGTTCTGGAGATCTTGAATATGCTTAACATTACTGTACACTTAAAAATAGTAAAGATGATAGGGCACCTGGGTGGCTCAGTCAGTTCAGTGTCCGACTCATGGTCTTAGCTCAGGTCTTGATCTCAGGGTCGTGAGTTCAAGCCCTGTGTTGGGCTGCATGCTGGGTGTGGAGCCTACTTAAAAAAAAAATAGTAAAGATGGTAAATTTTATGTTATACAGTAGTCCCCCTTTATCCACAGGGAATACATCCCAGGACCCCCAGTGGATGCCTGAAACTGTGGTTGATACCAAACCCTATTTTTTCCTATACATACATATCTATGAGAACATTTAATCTACAAATTAGGCACAGTAAGAGATTAACAACTAACAAATGCCGTAATTAAAGTTATGTGAAGAGGGTCTCTCTCTCTCTCTCTCAAAATACCTTATTGCACTGAACTTGCCCTTCTTGTGAGGATGTGAGATAAAATGCCTACGTGATGAGATGAAGCGGGGTGCTTGAATACGGCACCGCGACAGAGCGTTAGGCTACTATTGACCTTCCGGTGATATGTCAGAAGGAGGATCGTCTGCTTCCAGCTGACCATGGGCAACTAAAACCACAGAAAGCAAAACCTCGGATAAGGAGGGACTTGCTGTATATTTTTAACCATGATTTAAATTTATTTAAAAGATTTATTTATTTTAGAGAGAGGCAGCGTGAATAGGGGTGGGAGTGGGGAGGGGCACAGAGAGAGAAACCTCAAGCAGATCCCCTGCTGAGCGCGGAGCCCAACTCAGGGCTCATCCCGGGACCCTGAGATCATGACTTGAGTCAAAATCAAGAGCGGGCTCCTCAACCAACTGAGTCACCAGGCGCCCCACAATTTAAAATTTTTAAAGAAATAAGAAAGAAGGAGAGAGACAGAAAGGGGCACCTGGGTGGCTCAGTTGGTTAAGCAACAGACTCTATCTCAGCTCAGGTTATGATCTCGGGGTGGTGAGAGTGAGCCTGGCGTGGGGTGCACGTGGACTCTGCTTGAGATTCTCTCTCTCCTTCTGCCCCTCCCCCCACTTGCACACACTCTCTCTCTCTCAAAAAAAAAGAAACTTAAAAACACAGGTAGGGGAAGTTGGACAGGGAGGGTGGGTGGAAGGGATGGGGTAGGGCTGAGGGTGGGGTGGGCAGGGGCCTCAGCCATCAGTCCTGCTGTTTGTGAGATAGGGAAAGCCCGCATGACTCAGAGCCCCAGCTGCCCTCCACTCCTACCCCAAGCTAAGTGTTGTTGGCAGGTCCAAACGGAAGCCCACTCAGAGCCTAAGAAAGCCTTGATCGCAAGCCCAGCTCTGCTCAGTTCCGACCAGGGAGCACCTCACCCAGCCCCAGACAGCAGAGGGAACAAGGCACGGGTGGCAGGCTGCTTGTCCTTCATCAGGCCTGTTGGTGTGCCAGATTCCTGGCACCGACGGCAGGGCAGACCACAGGCCCTGCCCTCATGAGCATTGGTTGAGATGCACAGCTACACACCTGAGAACCTTCTCCTCACAGGCCATCAGTAGCTAGCATTTCCTGAGCACCTACTACGTCTAGGTGCTGGGCTAAGCCTCTTAAATGGATTGACTTGTGCCATTCTCCATACCATGCTAAGTGGCAGGGCCTAGTGACAAAACCCCATTTTACAGACGAGGGAACTGAAACGCAGGGAGCAAAACTGGCCTCCTAGCCATCAAACTCCACCCCTCAGGCGTACGCTGCCAGACACCAGGAAGAGCCAGCATTCTGCAGGGGGAACCCTTGAGCTGAGTTTGGAAGGACGAAGAGTTAGCCAGGCGGCGCTCCGAGTGGCCAGGAGCAGAGGCTGAATGAAGCGGGGGTGGGGGGGGGGGAGCTGTCCAAGAGCTGACCTCAAGGGCCGCCGCAGCCCTGCTCCCAGGCAAATCACAGCGCCTGTTTCCAGCAGCCTCCACATGCACCCCTCCACTTCTGGCTGCGGCTGGGCCCGTGACTCACGCCTCCCCGGACAGCAGAGTCCCGTGCCAGGCAAGTAACCAATATTCAATCAAGACATGCTAGATGGGTGGGTGTAAAGAGCAACTAAGCCCATCCGTGGTGACGTGTTCTCTGCACAGGACACGAGGCCACATGGCTTCTGGGGACAAGAAGGAACTCTGGAACAGAGGCTGCCATGAGCGGGAGCACAAACGGGCGTTCGAGGCCTGGAGGCCCTGCCTGGGGATGCGAGAGGAGAGGGGAGAGGCTGTGTTGCCCTACTGTGGGGAAAAGGAGGCCTGGCCTAGCACATGCACGCACGGCCACTGGAAGAGCCACAAACACGGGCACACACAGATACCTTCAGGCACGCGTGACATGCAGGTGTGTGCAAGCTGAGAACACCACACACCCACACCCGCGCGAACAGCCACGTACCTAGGTGCACACACGTACATATCCATCCATGTTCCAAAAAGGAAGTGGGGTCTGAGCCATGGACATAGGCTTCTCCCCACAGGGCCCAAAGCCAGTAATAGGAATAAGGTTTGGAGACAGCCTCCCAGAAACCACCTCTTTCAGCTCTGGAGACAGAACGCTGCCTGGGCTAGGACACCAACACAGGGCGACCTGGGCCGGGAGGGCCCCTCCTATGGGGGAGCTCACACCAGCACCTTCTTCCTTCCACACCTCAGGCACTGCCACCCAAGGAAAGGGGAGGTCTGATGAGGAAATGGCTTTTGAGCATTTTCCCAGGCACTGACTTGAGACCAGACCCTTGAGGCGTTGCTTTTTAAACAAAACAATATTTTATTGACACATCCTCAATGTTCCGTATAAATATAAAGTGCTAAGTTTCCAACCCCCGCCCACAGGGCTGGGAGGAAGTGGGGGAGGGAGTGTTAAATGTCAGCTGAACCCAAAAAACTTTCCAGCACCGATACGGGCGTGACATGCTCACACACATATGCACGTGCACGCACGCGAGCAAGAGGCCCGCACGCAACAGACGCGGCACTTCCCTGCCGCCCAGCTCCCCAGGAGCACAAGGCGCAGGCTCCAGGCCTGTAGTGGACCACCCCCCAGACGGGGCTCCCGGTTGTCACAGCTTGTTCCTTGGAGCGCTCAGGCTGCCAAGGGCTTCAACATGGTGGTGGGACCCGTGGGAATCCATGGGTGTAGAGGTCCAGTTAGTTTCCGCCAGAAGACAGAGGGAGGAGGGGGAGCAGACATGCCCTCCATGCTGGTCCCCAGAAGAGGGCCAGCCCTCAAACCTAGCAGAAGAGCACCAGGTGAGAAAGTCCAGAATTCCTGCCCTCCCAGCACCACCACCTGGGGGCTTTTCAAACTTCGGAGAAGGGGCAGCTTTCCCTGACCTGGAGAGAATCAGTGCCCCCTGCCTGGGGGGAGGGGGCAGCCTGGTGGGGCCCTGCCTCAGTGACACAGCACCTGAGTCTCGAACTGTAGCAGCTGCCCCATGAAACTGAAGTTAGGGGAGATGACTCC